TTTCAGAAAAATATTGTCATAATTTTGACAGGTTACACACTAATTATTAATTAGAATTTTGGCATAATTTCAGTTATGACAGATTTCAAAACTCATCAAAATTTTGGTGGGCTATTTACTAATAATTTATTATAATTTCGACAGAATTTCAGCAGTCACTAAGAGATTTCAGCAAGCAACTTTATATTATATAAATTTAATAGTAATATTTTTGTTTGAATAGAATTACTAAATATTGAGATATTAGATTATAAAGTGAAAAATTTATTTTGAAATTTCTGGTAATATATTATAAAAATATATATTTATAAATAAATTATAAAATTCAAACTTTCAATAAAATTATAAATTGAATTAAATTTCAAATTAAAATTTAAACTAAAATTTAAATTTAAATTTAAATTTAAAATTTAAACTAAAATTTAAATTAAAATTTAAATTGAATTTCTAATTGAAATTCAAATAAAAATTCAAAATTCAAAATTCAAATACTAATTAAAAATATAATTTTTCAATAAAATTATCTTGAATATTAATATTATAAAATATAAAAAATATAAAAATAAATATAGAAATATCAAATTATAACAATAACAATAATAAATTTTAAAAAATAACAAAAAATTTTCTAAAAATAATCAGAATATAATAATTAGTAAAAATAGCTTATTAAATATTATTTATAATATTATTTTATATTTTTTTATCTTTTTTATTTTTTTATTTTTTTTTGAATTCTTATTTATTTAGTTAGTTATTATAATATATTTATTATTCATATTTTTATTAAATAATATATTATTTATTATTATTAATTAATATAATAATTAAAAAGACAAAAAAATAAAAAACCAAAAATAAAAAGTTAAAAAAAGAAAAATTATTTTTATAATAATTAATTTTATATAATAATACTTTATTTTATAAATAAAAAATATATTCTAATTAGATTTTTAAATTGAATTTAAATTTTAATAAGTTTGTATAATTTATTATAGAGTGTTAACTAAAATAATAATAATAAAAAGTATAATAATAAAAAAATCTTATTAAATAAAACTATTTGAATTTTTAAATCTTATAATAAATAAATCTTTTAACTATACTTATTTTAAATAAAATTTATAATAAAAAATATTTTATTAAAAAATCTTTTATTATATAAATTATCAATAAAAACTAGAATAATATTATATTAAAATTTATATTTACAAAATTATATAAACAAAAGTAATATATAAGCTTTAATTAATTATATTAAAATTTGAAAACAAATAATATAATAAAACAAATATCTTTTAATTCTCACTTTTTTAATATTTTTTAATTATATATTTTTTTGTATTTAATAAAATTTGATAATTATTTTATATTTAATAAGAAAATTTGTATTAAGAAATTTGTCATTAAAAAAAATATTTTTGTTATAATTATATTATTGATATTTTTGTTATAATTGCATTATTAATATTTTTTACTTGTTGAAAATATAATATTTCTTTGTCATGAAAAAAACAAAGTAAAAAATCTTTATTTTACTAATTATATTATATTTTAATAATACTAAAACATTTTTTATTAATATAAAAATATTAAAATAATAAATTTATTAGGATATTGATATATATTATTAATTATAACAATGTAAAACTTAGTGATTTTTAGACATAAAAAAAATTGCACTTTTAATAAACGTAAAAAAAAGAAACAAGCATTTTATATGTTCCATAAATAAATGCGTCAAATAATAGTATCTTAGACATGGCAAAAAATTATCGTTCATGTGATTCTGATTCCATACCGATCAATCCCTCTTAAAAATCATGCACCAATCAAGTCACAAGATCAATGTGTAATGCAAAAAATTGAAATAGTTTATACCTTGAAATTTTATTTATGAAACAAAAAATGTTTCTTGCGAAATTTTACTATATAGTACGTTTTCGTTTGCTATATAATAATTTTAATCCAAAACTCTTAATATTATGCATTATAATTAAGGGGATATCGGATGGTCGGCATTAGGATCAGAATCACGTGAATGGTACATTTTTTCGCGGAAAGTTTACGAACAGTGAGTGCTTCAGAACAATGCTAGATCACGTGGCCTTCAAAAATTCACGCTCATGCGATCACGGAAAATTGACGTTAAAGGTTATTTTATCGTTTGAATTAGGGTTAGGGTTAGAGCTGAGGATAAGATTATATGTAAAATTGCTTTTCCGACATCTGTTTCCACATTTTTTATTTTCTTGTGTCAAAGACCACGTGATTCAGCATTTTTCGCCATGGCTGATGCATATCAGATATCGATTGATAATCCGACGCACCTCATCCAACGATCGATATCAGAGGTACTTCAGCTGTCACATGACGCGGAGGCACAACATATATGACATTTTTGCTAAAATATGTTGTTTTTTGATGTATAAAAATGGGCGCCTTTGATTTCCCTGCTAACCCTTTCTTTTCGGAGAAACAATGATCGAATTAATTTTATGTTAAGTGAGTCAGTATCTTCGCTTGTCTTTTTATAATGTGTAATTTAAGCGAATTTTTATTAAGATGTACAAGCGTTAGTTTGGTAAGACGGCATCCATTCGTAACAATTTTTTCTTAACGAGAACCAACCACTGAGTTAATAGCGGAAAATTGATACCTGTCGATTTCAAAAGGCTATTATTCCAAACTACTGTTCCGATTTAATTTATATTAATAAGGATTGAATTTTACAATTCTGCTATTTGTTTTACGAATCACTAAATACAATCATTACCACTTCTTGTGCGGTATCCATTGTCAGATCATTATTATTTTGTGAGACCGTGTTAGAATTCGTTGCAATCTTTCGCAGTTATGGTTTCGAGCAAGATTATAGGCACAGTAGTGGGTTTTGGTTCGAAGTATGCGTCAAATCTCGCAAGAAATGGACACACTCTTAATGGATGTGAATTTTATTTTACGTACTGCAAAACCAAGAAAAAATTGGTCATAGAGAACGAGTTTCAGCTCAATCAAATCGTACGTCTTGCTCCGCTGAAAAAAATCTTCACACAGAAGGTAGGCTCTCTGTAAAACTGTATAGCCGCAAGATAACAATTAAATTCTAATACAAAGAATCATAACACCGCTAAAACGTTACTTTCTACTCGGGTATTCGTCCATCTGGTTCTGCGCAAGAAAACAAAGCTATTACGAATAATAATAAGTATTATTATGCAAGTCGTGATTGTTCAAAGACCAAATGGGCCTGAGATCCTAAAGTATAAAATATTTTTATTGATTGATAATTTTGACAATATAAATGATCGTAATTTAGCGTATAATTAAATGATTGCACGTTCGCGTTAGGGAAAATATTCTATATCGGGAAAAGATAGACTTTCACATAGGATTGTTTCATTATACGTATATAGCGATAGGTCTAAATCAAGGGTAGAATGTGAGAGACTTGGTTTGCACGATGATTTTCTTTGGAATAATAAACCTGGTCTTTGGAACGCGTGATGTCATTTGATTATGCCAAATGCGAACTAATTCTAATTTCATCAAAACAAAACTATCAACCTTGAAAACCTAAAAATTTTAATAACGATGCCAAGTACCTCAAAAATAACGAAACCAGGAGGTCTGGCGGTTTGTCATACTATAAGAAACAAATTTGTCACCATATTGCTTGACTAAATCCTTTTTCCTCATTTCTAACAATAGTGTCTAACGTGCCCGAAAAGTATCAAGAACGAGCAAAGGCAAGAAGGCGGGGTGCTGGGTAAGCGAAGCCTATTTTTGTATTATTTCAGAATCGTTGATTTCATACTCAAAACGACCTTGTCTCTTGCCTCAAGCAGAACACATCAAACCGCAATTCGAAATTTCACTATTCAAATTCCTAAAAAAAAAGACACGCAACAACCTTCACCTCCCTCGATACCATCCATTTCGCCAACAACTCATTCTCCTTTGCCTCTGTCAAATATTTTATCTGAAGTTAATGAACAAGCTGAAGAAACTCTGTTAGCATCAAATACACCACCTCCTGAACCAATAATATCAAATACTACAGAGAACATTAAAAATACCAATATTACTATTATTACTACTAATACCGAAGTTAATAATATTAATGATGATAATTATAGTGAGAATGATGATAACGATAGTGACAATGATGATAATTATGATAATAATAATGAATCAGTAGTTCCGGATACTCTTGCACCAATCGATCAACCAGAATCTTCGAGGGCTGTTGCAAATATTTCAAGTGATAGTAGATCGGAAGAAATCGAGCAACCAGTGACTGTTAAAAAGACGCGGCGTGTTATATCACGAGGCAGCTCACGACGTGTAAAAATAAAATGTTATAAATTCAAACCTTCTTCAATTCGAGACAAACACGGGAAAATCATTAAAAGAGCGGCAAGAGTCGGAGTGAATACAATCGATGTCATTGGCGAAACAATTTATTCCACAATTATAGGATACAAGTTGGTGACAATTTCCATTTTAATAATTCCTACTAATACCGCCATCTATACTAAATGTTTTTAAATTCAACTCGTAGTGATCAAACCATCTTTAAAAAAGAATTACAACTCTTTAAAGAACAAGTTGAAGTTTTTCTAATCGAACAGGTTTTTATAATATCATTTCCTGTGTTTTGTTGCATCCATTGTTAATCAGATAACTAATCTCAACAACCTCCGCCAAGTAGACTGATCTAAGTGATGAACATGGTCTTCTACAGTCTTCTTTGCGAAATGCAAAGTCAAGATCAAACCAATTGCGCAAAGAATTATTCAATACTCAAAAAGAACGAGAAAATGTTCGTCGCGAAAGATATAAAATTCAAACAAACTTCGACAAGGAAGAAAAAGATCTAAAGGTTATTTATTTATTATTAATGTTTTTATTAATACAATCATATTACTAATACAATCATATTTTTATTAATAAAAATATAGAATTTGGAGCAAGTTCACGATTATCTTTCTGAACTTCAAGCATTAAGAGAATCGGTGTATGCCGATGAAGACACGATGGAAGAGGATAATGAAATAAAAGTAAATTATTTGTATATTTTTAACGTTAATTTATTTTCGAGCCTAATCTTATTCTTAATATAAATTAGGATTCTTATGAGAGCCTATTAGCAAACATTACAACTCGCTGTGGCGATCTTTCGATTTCATCTTTCACACCAATTGCAAATAGAAGCATTGGCTTAGAAGATGATCAAAAAGGCCATGGAACTTTAGGAATCTTACAAAGGTTCAATAATTTATTGGAAGCAATGGATGCTACAATTAGAGAAACGACTACTAATACAGAGAATGGTGTTGGATAATAATAATTATTGCATGATGTTCATTAATTAATACGTGTTGTTTTGATGAATGATTGTCGCGCAATTGTACATAATCTTTGTTTAATGAACGATTGTCGCGAAGTTGTATATAATTGTTGTGTATAATGAACATTGATCACGCTTTCGTTCCACGCACGAAATCAACAAGAATAAGATATAAATATGGGCAGTGGGGTAGGGAGAGGGAATGATGATGGTGTTGTATATTTTTTGTTCCAATGACTTGACATTTTGTGATTTATTAAACCACAATGAGTGTGAACTAATCATCTTTTTTGCCCATCACAAAAAATGACAATATAAAAAGATCAATATAATAAATATACCAATCATCTCAATACTGTCTAAATTAATATTATTAATTATTATGCCTTAATTCACAAGATCGCTCTTCTATATATCAATTGTCCATACTGATAAGAATTCTTTATCGATTCATTCCCAAGAACTCTCCACAATCTCCCGTACACGTCTAATATACTCTTTTCTATTCTCTCGGTATAAATTCGCTGCTTCCGCATTCGCTGGTGAATTTGGATTTGGATCATGTAGTAAACTTTGAATGCTTGTTAAGATTGCAGCTACATCATATGTTGGCGACCATCGATTCTGTAGGATATCTAGACAGAGCTCTCCGTTTGCGTATACGTTCGGGTGAAACATTCTTGAAATGAATTTTACACTGGGTGGTCTATTTGGATAGTTTTCATCAAATTGAAGTGTGAGTTTGAATGTGCCATCCTCAAAGGGTGTTTCAGCTTTTTATAAATAATATATGATCAAGAAATTAATATCGCAATCTAGCGCTTCGCTCGTTTCTTAATAACCAAAAACACTTACCAGGCCCAAAGATAACAGCATTCCACTGCAGAATATTATCTGAACAAGGCGCACCTGAGATGCCTGCCGGTGGATCATTCTGAAGTCGCTTAAAGTCACGCATCAGTCTACGACGAGCTTCCGTTGACATTGTGTTATAATGACGTGTGAATTATTGTTTTGGTGTTGATTTCCTTTACTATATGCTTTTGAAATGAATAATTTAATAGGTGTAAATGAAAATGTGGAAAGAGTAGAACCGGAGATTGAAACTCGAAATGAAAGAAGTCAGGATGAGGTAATAATGCTGATCAGACCTGATTTGAGCATGATTGAAAATCCAAAAAAATAATTCTTGTTCAAATTGCCACTTTACCGTTTACCGAATAAACTATGTCACTTTTGACACCGCCAGCTCTTTCCATCCGCTCCTATCCTACAACCGGGGAAGTCTCTGTGGCTCTTGCTGACTTATTTGTAACACTTTCAGCCGACGCTATTCAAACTCGCGGTAGATTTACTGTAGGTTTATCGGGTGGGTCACTACCGAAAATTTTAGCAGCCGACCTCGTAAAAAGAGGTGACGCAGTTGAATGGGACAAATTGACAGTATTCTTTTGTGATGAACGGTGAAAAATTTAATCATCTCATCAGTAATCATTCATTTTATCTGATGTTTACTTGGGATTTTGTCTCGTGATATTGCTAGACTTGTTCCTTTAGATCACGAAGATTCAAATTATCGACTTTGTCATGAAGAACTATTCTCCAAAGTCCCTATTCCTGAAGCGCAAATTCACACGATTAATGCTGATTTGTTAGATAATGCCGACGAAGTTGCGGAAGACTATAAAGATCGGTTGATTAATGTCTTTGCAGCCATGAATAGCGCCAAATTCCCTGTATTTGATTTATTGTTGTTGGGAATTGGACCAGATGGACATACTTGCTCATTATTTCCGGGGCATTCAAGTTTAGAGAACACAGTCGATTGGGTAATCTCAGAAGAAAACTCACCCAAGCCACCGCCACGACGCATCACTCTTACGTTACCGGTCTTAAACCACGCACACAACGTTTGTTTTGTGGCTACTGGTGAAGGAAAACAAGACATGTTGAAAAGAGTTATCGACGAGAAAGATCAAGAGATTCCTAGCGCGCTCGTACAACCGGCTCACGGGACATTGTATTGGTTTTTGGATGATAAAGCGAGTGCCAAATTAACTTCGATTGACAAAAGCGATCAATAAAATGGTAAATAATGCTATTTGTTCAATCAGAAATGAAATTTTCCATTTTTTATCCAATTTATAATTTATTCTTAGGTAAAAATATCCCAAATTATAATGTCATTCCTGAAAAGGATTTTTGTCATTACTACATGTAATAAGCTGTTTGTTTTTTATTGTGATATTATATAATTTATTTGTTTTTTTTTACATCATATTGTTATATTTAAATAGTAGGTTTAAATATTATGTTTAAATTACTGATTTACGTTTATAATTATTAGTAATCGATGATAATGGAATTATTAGTCATATTGATAAAATAAAAATTGATATTATAAAAATAATTTAATTATATTAATGAATTCGATAAATTAGTTATCATCATCATAGAACAATATACTGCAGATTGATCATTGATAATTGTATTCAAAAAAGACTAACCGGGAAAGAAAGACTTTAACACTCTGATTTTGATCCGGAATATTATGTTCTACTAACTTACTTTGGTCAAAGAAAAAAGAGGAGATTTTTTTCTCTTTGAGTGCATTGACCACGTCTGTTATGTATCTAATAACAAAATAATAATCTGCATAAATAATGCGCGCATACGAATAAAAAGGCAATCCCCTTCAGTACCCTGGTACGATCTACAGTGAAGTTCAGAGTCATGACTATCATCAACGTCGCATAATCTAGAATAAAATCGCCTTTGTGTTATGTCTCGTGTTGATACCTCGTGTATTTAGAAGTCACCGTAATGAAAATCATCATATCAATATGTATATAATAGTACACCCAACCCTCATGGTCGGGACAAAAAAAAAAACTTTAAATTGTTGGCATGTGAACTCCCTAAACAACAATATATTTATATATTTATTATATCCAACGATGGGTGTATGCGGTATGCGGGTATTAATTTCAAAAAAAAAAAACTTGTGCTTCATCAATTAATTAGCCAATGGTTTATCGCGAAATTTGATCAGAGATCAATCTATCCCACAATAATAGCACAACGTACATATTCTCCAGAACACTCCCGAGTTACGTCGGAAAAACAGTGATCGTGTTTATTTTTCAATTTTTATATTCTTGACATTATGATGCATTGAATGATATTTCGAGAAAGCAGAAAAAGTTAACAAGAGGTCAGTGGTCAGTGCGATACGCTGATCAAAATAAAAATAAAAGTAAAGTAAAACAAAATAAATGTATGTGTATATATATCCCGCACCTTGAAATTCGGCGTACATACATATTGCATGATTGCATGTTTATTATTGTATTGTGATTTGAGTTTGAGTTTTTTAACTTTTTGCCAATTCTCGAAAAAACTTCAGGTAAATTTTTTTTTGCGATTTATTATTTACTTATTTACAATTGCTATTAATACTATTATTATTACTGTATGTATATGTCGTCGGTAGGGTTTAATTTAAATAGCACTTTTCAGTAAGAAATTTTTTCTTCAGCCTTTTTCTTCCTTCTCACACTTTGCAAGAGGGTTCAACTTTACGACCGAAAGAAAATTAACCCAACCTCGTCTCTTAATTCGTTCTTCTTTCCCCTCTGCTCTCTTTATATCCCTTTTAACTTCTAATTTTCGTTATTATTATTATTGATTCATCCATTTTATTCAAAGAAAATTCGAATTTCTCCAGTTAAATACGTAATCATTATTATATTTAAATTACAATAAAATATATATGTCCATATATATATATATATTACACAAATATAATAAATTATATATACTTTCACTCTCTTTATTCGATAATAGTAATACGTAATCGCAATTTTTATATTTTAATCGTACACGAAAACAATTTTTTTGTAAGAAAAACACCCTCTACTTTTTTTTTATATTATTCATTCATTTTTAATAATAAATTCACTCGCAAAATAATGACGACTTCATTCTATCTTCCTCCAAGTTCATACATTTCGCGCCCGAATAATAACATGAATACAGCAAATTTTGGTGGCTCACAATTATCCCACAATAATCCGGGGAATCCTAATAATTCCGCAACTACCAATACTAGTCCTTACTATTTAACTGTCCAAGCGCCTCAAGCATTGAACAGTGGTGTAGAGCATCAACAACCACCTTCTTCTCAATCACAATCACATCACCAACAACAGCCTCAACAAGTGATACTTCAACAACCATCTGTCGGAAATGGCTGGAATGTTCCTTCAGATAAAAGAGGAGGACATACCTCACCTTTGGGTTATCCATCTCAAGGTAATCCTAACAATGGTGCCGTTGCTTTGAGTTCGCCATTCAATAACACTTCGTTTCAATCGTCTCAACCGAATGGTCAGTGTTTTCATTATCATATGCCTGATGTTTTTTCATGCAAGATATAATATAATTATGTAGTGCACATCGAATCAATGCTCTCATGCGCGTATTTGTTGTGTGTACGTGTTATTACCCATTATTGGATTTTTGGGTAACATGGCATCCACGTTTCATTTCACAATTGACGCATTGGCCACATTTATTTTGTGCATATTTGTTGTGTGGCTCTTGCATAATTTTATCAATCAGAATCTGATTTTGATTTTCCATCAACATCCCATTGTTAGTGCAAGAAGCGAAACCAGTATTACCTCCGCGCTCAATGCTCGACCAATCTCCTCCGCCTTCTCTTTCAATGAATCATTCGTCCATTGTTTCACCATTTTCTCAATCGCTTTCTTCACAATCTCCCAATGACGTATCGAATCTTATGGTACCCAACAGATCTTCAACAAGTCGAACTGTGGCAAATACAAAAAGAGCTGCTCAAAATCGTGCTGCCCAACGTGCTTTCCGTCAACGCAAGGATCGTTATATCAAGGATCTTGAACAGAAAGCCAAGGAATTGGATAGCGTGAAGAAGCAAAATGAAGCTTTGATTAAGGAAGTTCAAGAAAAGGCTGCCACGATTAGTAATTTAAAATCTCAATTGGCTCGATACAAAGCGGAAATTGATTATAGTGATGATGATTTGCGTCGCAATAGTAATGCGTCACCATATTCAAGTAACAATGATGACGACTCGCGTGGCTTTGATGAGGAGCCATGGTCAAGGCAGAATAATAGCTCCCATCATCACCATCATCATAACCATAAAGAGGCCATTCGCAGTAATTCTAGTAATGGTGGCGGATCAAATAATCACCATAGTGAACATTCTTTTTTTGAGAAAGAAAGCAATAAAAGTCCTTATCCATTCTCGCCAACTTCTTCTGATGGATCTCCGCCACAATCCTCATTAAATCGACCTGGTTCTGGCCTAACAGAAAATCCGCCACGTGGCTCTGGCGTCATTTTACCACCAGGTCCAAATACCGACTCAACAATTGATCCTTACTATCGATCGGATTATCGTCATTCAAATCATTTAAACTCGTCACAAAATATTGCACCAATATTGCATCAAAACGGTCGCAATTCATATAACAATAATAGCACTAACAATAGCAATGGTAACCATCACCACAGCAATCAAAATAACGGTAATCATCGAGTCGTAGTCGTGCCTGGCGAGGAAGATACCGACCGAGTTATGGTGGATGATCTATGCGAATTACTAAGAACCCGAAGTCGCCCCACCATACCGCATAATTTGGGGATGGGTATATGGACACCAACTAATCAAGGAACTCAATCGGGCGTCAATGGAAGTGGAACAGTCGTGTCATGATTTCCCGCTTTAATTCTCTGATCACGAAAATAAAGAAAAATACGACTTTCCAGATATTTTTTTATTTTTTATTTCGGTAAGTTATCAATTAGTCAATTAATTATTAAATTTAATTGAATATTGCGAAATTACTAATTATATCATTCCTACAAATAGTTTTGACTCGGGATTAATTTCATTTTCATTTTTTTTTATACATACGTTTTATTCATTTTTACTCCATGCATTTTAAAAATAATTCGACAAGTCTCGAACGTAAATATCCTATGCTGCATTTTTTTTTCGGATTCTCTCTGTGTTTCTTTGTATCTTTGTAAATTTAAATTTTGTGAATGCTCTCCTACCCTTTTATATCTCTCTTTCCCTCTAATTCTACACCACACCACAAAAGAATATTTTATGTCACAACATATATATCTAAGAAAATATTCTCAACAAACCACAAATATTAAAAATCTTTTGCTACCATTATTAAATATCAACATCATCAACATCTACCTACTATGTATATACATACTATGAACTTTATAATAAGGATTCGTCTGACAATTTCGTACTCGCCTTTTTATATCCCCTTTTTTCTTCCTTTGGAAGCGCGCGTCCGGATGGAGTAAAGGTTTATATAAAAAGATATAATTCCATTCACACCGATTAAATTCAGAGTGCTATATTATATCAATATACTCAATATATTCTGTTTCATAGTAACCTTCTTCTTAATTCTTTTCTGTTGTCATTCACACTTTTCTGCTTCTCCTTTTCAATACCTCGTATCGTGATCCAAAAAGAATCGAGTCTGTGCCTATTTATTTTTCGAAAGAAGAAATCTGCGCTTATTTCAAATCCTTAGTCTAACAAGATTTACTTTTAAATTAAATCGAAAAAATTTAAGATATCACGTTAATATATGTTTTTTTCATGTATTGGAGATTTTTTTAAAGGGAGAAGCGAGAAAAGGGGGATTATTTTATTTTTATTTAATTAGTGATTAATGACTAATGATGATTTTCTTTATATATATATATATATAATATAATTAGGATTTTTTGTAGATCGAGCAACGCACGGACCTTCAATCTACCAATTCATTCATTAATCAGCAAACGAACAAACAAACAACAATTACACACGAATTTAAACTCAACGTACACCATCAATCTCCGTCACACACTTATTGTCCGAGATCCTTTTTTTTTCTTATCTTAATGACCATTGTTTGACTCCTTTTTCACACTTTAAAGGAAACAATGGAGATTGATCTCGTGTGTAAGTGATGTGTAAGTTAGTTTGTTTGTTTGTTTGCTTGTTTGTCTTTATATATATATACTTTCCAATCAATCAATCAATCGATCGATCAATCAATCAATCAGTCAGTCGGTCAGTCAATCAATCAATCAATCAATCAATCAATCAATCAATCATCACCCATTAATCACACCAAAAACCCGGTTTTCTCTTCTTCTTTTAATATAAATATTTAATATAACACAAGCATTTGTCTTCTTATATCACAGAAATAGTCGGTTATTTAAAATAACAATCTGCAATTCTTATAATTCAATGTATTTTGTTTCTATCCTCTAGTCTCCCTTTCCTTTGTTATATGATTAACGAATGAACGGAATAGAATGACTAGAGATTGGATGACAGTATCCAATCAACTAAACGAACATTATCTATACTACATAGTGCTTGTGAGAAAATCTAATTAAATAAAGATCTATGAATATCGACCGTTAACGTCGAATTAGGGTCAAGCAGTAGCAGTATCATGAGCGTGATTGTTCGTGGTTTGGGGTCGGGGGTGGTCGATTGGGATACGTGTCTAGCGAATTGCAGTGATGGAAAGTTCGCTGAATATTTCGTGATATTAGAAAAGAAATGCATGGGTCAAAGAAGAAAAGAAATCATTTTTTAGGAACTTGTATCGAAATCCGGGGAACATGTGGATCTAGATCATTGTATTGTGGGTTGCTGGTTCGAGATGTATGATCTGTCGATACAAATTACATGTGATCTGTCGAAGAGAGATTTGCATTACCTAAATGATATATATGTATAAAAAAAAAGGTAAAGGTAAGTAATTGAACTAAGGTAATTCCCATTACATAATCAAGTCTATCATGATGTCATGTCAAATAGCATGAATTCAATGATGACGATCATGATTATGGAATCAATCATTGCAATTATATAATGTCGTATTATGGAATCAATCATTGCAATTATATAATGTCGTATTATGGAATCAATACAGTGTTGTATAAATTTTCCGTATCGATCGGCTAAATATCAAACTTTAGGTTTAGACATCAATTTATATGGCAATTTGCATCAATTTGGTAAGACTGATAGATTTACACATAATATTGGATCGACAGGGTCCAGCGATGAAGTAAGCAAAATAAATGCGGGGATTAGATAATTGCTGTAATCAATTCCAACAAGCAATTACAATCGATTTGAATTATGATGCCATATTGTGTCATATTGCGTGCATTTTAATATAAAAAAGCCAATTGGTTATTTTTTAATTAATTACCTTGCAATCGAAAATAATGAGAACGAGAGAGGAATTTCATAATTTAGTATAGAATTCCCAGGTGGATGGCTGAATCTAATCCGTCTTTCTATATCCTGCAGAGATAAAGCGATCAATTCATATTTAAAATCGAAGAAAACAATAAAATAAATAATATTACCTGAACGAAATCATGACAATGGTATTAAGAGCATTCGGACTCGTGTACCTATTTTATTATTACCAGGCGTGTCGTGTTTTTTGCTAATCGAATGATAATCGGGTAACGAAATTAATTGACTAGAGAATCAAAAAGTGCGTAAAGTGGCCGTGTGATCTGCATTACTGAATGTTTTTGTGATTATATCGAGACACGAATATCTAAAGAAATAAAAATAATATATAATAATAGAGTAAAAGAAACCTCGCCAAACAAAGTGGCCGAATTTTCCTTAATTTGGAATTTCTTATGTTAATTGAATTAGAGAGGGAGGAAATTAAAGAGTTTGCATTTTTTTTCATAAAATAAACGGTGATTGTAATGATGTTTGTGCTCTCTCTCGGTTGGGTAAATCATATTTATTATAACGTGGGGGGGGGGGAGGGTTAGAAATAATATATGCTTAAATAGAGTTTTGCTGTTGCTGTTTTGCTTATGTAATTTGCCGAGAGTTCATATTTTTACGCGTTTTTCTTTTTGTTAAAGAAAATGTTTGATGTGGGGATCACTGAAGGAAACAATGAGCATGACTTCGTATTTAAACGCGCGTCATTTATCGTACTAACTAAAAGGTCGAATCTTGAATATTAACAAAGATTTGAATGAGTGGACGTGAGATCAAGTACAATTTTCGAAGACGCGTCAAATAGGAATAAATATTAGAAGACATTTGTGTTTTGATCAAAATATGTTAAAGCAACTTTTAAAATAAAAATTGAAAGGTGACTAGTTGTAAGACGAGAAAAGAAAAGCGAGAGAAGCGTAATGGGAAAAAGAGAGAGAGAGAGAGAGAGAGAGAGCACCTTTGAAACATTACGAACTTGACATAAACGAAAGAATGAAATGAATGAAAAAAATGAAGAGAGAACCTGCTCTTCTCTTGTAATTAAACTCGCGAATAAATAGCTACTTACCGTGATCATAAATATTGTGTACTACATAACGATATGTGATGTATCCCAACAAAAAATTACATTGTTATTGTCAATATCTATATGTATGAGACATAATGCATCACCACAAGTTGCGTTGCTTTGCATTGAATTTATTCTTAGGTTTGGCTTTCTGCTATTATTATTATTATTTTATAGGTTAGCAACAATTCAAAATTAAATTTCTCATAATCAACTATGATGATCTTTAATACTCTAAATTATTACATAATAAAAATGTGTTTTCTGGCGTAGATCGCATTTCGTCGGATAATTGAAATGAGAATGCAGATGAAATTCTTATTTTTCCACAAACAGGCCAGGTAGTGAGCTCAAATAAAGTTGTTAATCGATAAAAAGAACATGCCCGTTAATGCGTGATGAAATGGCAGTGTTTGTTCAAGAGTTAGAAACCGGTTTTCGAACAAGTTATTGCTTATTAAAGAGGAAATAATCTAAAGTATCGATATCGATATTGACAATATGATTTCAATATTCCATGATCACATGCATTCATTCTTTGATGGGGATGACGATAATTTAATTATTTATTACGTATTTTTTGACTACTGTTACTGTTACATGACATATACAAGCAAGAAAACAATCTAAATAATACAATTATTTTACTTACAATCTAACCAGACACTAGGGATCTTGCATAAGTTTCATTGTACAGTAGCGAATCGAGATTTTAGACAAGAAAGAGACCCGTTGGTAGTACGTGTTATAACCTACATGTTAGAATATGCAAAAGATAAGGAGAAACTACTCCAATGATTCTAATGGCAAATAGTTGCATAACCTTTTTTCTATCTTTAGGAAGATAATAGAGCTTTATCCCTTAATCTCTACTTTTACCGACCTATATTGGGTATCAACATCAACAATAATCATAACAACAATTATTCTATCACGTTTATCTGTTTATTGGTCTCTTTACTTGTTTTGTTATCCAACCGACGTATTAATTTCCTTTTTGACGAATATTATATTATTACTACTACTACTACTACTACTACTACTATTACTACTACTATTACTACTACTATTACTACTACCACTACCACTACTACTATTACTACTACTACTATCACCACAACCACATAACATAATACACTTGCTGCTATACGGGTGGATAAGATGGAAAGTGACAGAAGGTGAAAGATTGAATGTGTGAGATAAAGAATGTGTGTGAATATGTGGGTGTAAGTAGAAACACATTGATTGGGCTTAGATACATACATACAGAAAAATAAACGCACGCTGATTAATTTATCCAATAATGAAATAGTATATCGATATGTGCTAAGCGTGGAAATACAATTTACACACTCAGCCATATAACTCACACTCAGCCATATAACTAATCCTCGAACTCTCTTTTCTTGATCCCACTTCCATCGAAATCGGTTCATAAGTTATATTATCTGTACAGTGCACGCAGATCATTTCATATATTTTGTCGCCGTATTGCACAACATATTTAATCATTTTTGGTAAATTAGGATTAGAATGGGATTTAATATGCTATTCTACCGAAATTTGCACGTGTGATGATAACTATTAAAGCAAGCTCATTTTGCATCATCATATACATGTATCATGCGAACTATTGTTAAAATTTCGTTACCTATGTAATTGTTCGTTTTACTAAATAAATCGTGATGAACACGTTTTCAAGATTGGCGTTTTCTTTGTACACTTTCAATTCAATGACAGTTGCCGCTGAATTATCCTCAGAATATTCTCGATTAAAATAGCAGATTTCATAGAAACCCATATAATCGCAATAATGGGAAAATGTATTAACAATGCATACGTAAGTAGGAATTACAATCAAACCTCGATATAACGATCACTCGATAATATTAAATTCGCGATATGACGATGTTAAAATTTTGTACATCGTCACATTTCATCAAAAATTTCGTTGAGAAAAGCGAGTTGTAATTGAAATCATATGAATTTCATGGTCATGAGCCTTTGACAAGTATAACAATATCATGAGTTATTTAATATCAAGTTTGTAAACATTCATGCGTAATATCTCGCATGAAATTAAGAAAGAACCTAAAATCAATAAGCATTGGTACAAAATTTAATAGTTTAAAGTATATAATTAACAGATTTTAGTGAATTCAAAATATTAAGCTCTTTCTATACTGGTTATAACTGTCACTGTTAACAGAGGTTTGCGTCTTTTTAGATATCGTCTAACTTCATTGATTTGTGTGTATGAGAACTCAAATGTTATATGACATCATTAAAACCCCAAAATAATGGATATATATACTTAAATATCGATTTTACGAAAGCATCTGTAGATATATATATATCTATATCTCTCTAATATAAAATGAAACGCAAAAGTTTGTTACATGCCTTAGTTTAGATGCTTAAAGCAATTAATAATTCGATCAAATAATAATTCACCATTATCAATTAAATAAGCTAGCTTAGATAATAGACTTCGTGCATCAATAAGCCGAAAAAACAGTCGGATCATAAGAACAATGGATAATGCATATAATGAAGTTTCTCTATAAGTTTCAGATGAATTGAAACAATGCTAATTTCGCAAACCGCGATCTACAGTATACGTTATAAATAATGAGAATTTTTTATTTTATTGAAAAGGTTGCATCAACAAGTCCTCTTGTTTTTCACAGCATAAAAATTATAGTTTGAAAGATTTAAATTAAAAAATTTCATTTTTATTACAATTGTTAAATCTATTATTTTTTTGTAATTATTTTCTTATTATATATTGTAAAATGGTAATAAGCAAATCTTTTAAAGAATGTAATTTTGTAAGGGTCTAACAATTTTTATACAATAAAAAATTATTCTCGTTATTTACTGATATAATAATTATCAAATCGCAATAGTAGAATCTGTGCTCGGTTCCTGCTCACATGTACGTAACAAACCAATAAGGATGCGCAAATTTTTGATAATCCTGGCAAAACAAATCCGACACAAGAAAACGAAAAATGTGAAACTGTGGGAAACAGATACCTAAATAATGTCGGAAAGACAATTTACATATGACTTTAACTTGAACTCCTAACCATAAAATCAACCTTTAATAGTTGCCGGCACACATGTGATTTGTGCATTCTTATTGGTTTGTTATCATGTGATCAGGAGCCGAGGCTACCGATTATCCCAGGATTAAGGAATTTCTGGTTACACTAATAGTTTAATTTCGCCGAAAGCCGGATCTGCACTAATGTCGAAACCCCCATAGGATCTACAAAGATTTTGGCTAAGGGAGCGACAAATATCCATTTGTTATAGGGACCCCTCCCCCTACAGTGTTGTCACGGGACAGCTTTGGACATGCCTTTGGACATTTTTGACAAAATTTTATTAAAATAACCTGTTTGGACACTAATTAAAAACGTTTAGAATTTCTCGTTGTATATAATCATATATTTTTATTTAATTTTTTTAATAGTACAAGAATTTGGACACTTGGACGTTTGGACAGTCGAAAAAGTGCTTGGACATCCAAAATGTACAACACTGCCCTCCTGAGGTTTCATTTAACACATGCACGTGAGATTATATTAATACCTGAGATTTGGCCATCCCCCCAGAATATTAGCTAATATTTGTCACTTTCCTAATAGTTTATTATAATTTCGGTTTCGGCATTTCGACGCCTGCCGAAATTCCCTAAATTGGCACTCCTGGAATGTGTGACAGGTTAATCACAAATTTTTGATCAGTCTGGCAAAACAAATCCGACACAAAAAGCGAAAAATACGGAAAACAAATGTTCATATCTACTAATAAAAAATGTTGGGGAAGCAATTTTACATATAGCCTCTCCCTTTAACCCAACCCTAACCTATAAATATTTCAATCAACCATAATAGTCTTCTGAAATAGCTTAATTAAAACTAAATAACAGATCCCATGTTAATCAAAGTGACACTACTAAACGACCTTATGTTAATATTAAAATTTAGTGACCAAAAGTCACTTGTCAAATAACAAATGACGTAATTTTGTCCATCACTGCTCTACCCTGGGGTACTCGGTTAGCCTGCTTGTATAAAATTCGCTGATATCTCGAGATTCGGTACTGTACCAGGGTGATCCAATTCAATATGGTATACCCTTGGAAAAGGATTAGGCATGGATTCAGGATATAGAGCATATTTATTCTGTACCGAATCTGTTAAAAATACCGAATGCAAATTGTGATTGTGATACAAAGTCACATGTGTAGAAATACTAACTAATCCGTTTTGGTAATTCGTTTTTTTGTCCATTTAGCACAAGTTCTTCAACCTCTGGTAGGAAGTCAACGGCGTAAAGGGCTCTGGAAAGTATTCAGGAATTCTTTCAATCACGTTCCCCTCATTTTCCAGAACAAGAACAGGGTGAATATCACACAGGACAGGTTATTTATTTCAAGATCGGTCTAGACTTTTATGAATTGCAGTTTGCCTTTTCAGATGTATCGGTGAAAAAATTCAACACCTTTGATAGCCAAAAGTTGTCTCAGTTGAAGGAAAATGGTGACGTGTTCATTGTTGATATGATTACACCCGAACATGCAATTAGTACTCCGGGTCCAATCCGTGCCCGACCCAACCGCACACTTCGGGTTGGTGTCAAATCCGACCCGAAATCTTTCTGATCAGACTAAAAATCGTTATTTCTCGTTCAATATTAATTCAAATTGAACGAAAATTTGTAGATATATACACAATTATATTTCGAACAACTCCACATAAGACACAAAATATAAGTGGCTTAGTAAAAATAAAGTTATTAACGAAAAATTATATTACGATTTTCGGATCAAACTCGACCCGAACCGATTCGAATTTATCGAATCGGGTTGACCTCAAATCCGACCCGACCCGAACAGAGTTTTACATGCAACTATTACTGTGTATTTGTTAATGCATTTTTTTAGCTTCCAATAGTAATGTTGTTATTTGCTAATAATTAATTATATAAGAGAATTTTTTTAGTTTGCTTGATTTTTGATTTGTAATTAATTTTTTTTTACTTTTTGTTTTATATTTTGTTTTTTTCTAGTAATATAATATAAAGATACTTGAATTTAATGTATTATTATAGTTTGTCTTGGATATGATTTTCTAATATTAATATAATTTATAAAGAAAAACCATATATATTATTTTAATTATGAAATTAACTAATAAATATAAACAAGAATTAGGAGAAAAAATTAAACAAAGAGCAAAACAATAAAAGAAATATATTTAGATTTTATGTCAATTTTTACTAAACTTGTATAATTCAAAAAATTTAAGTATATAAAAAAATATGAGTTAAATAATATTTATTTCTAAATAAATATATTCTGATTTTATATATTAATATTATATATTTTAGAGCTAAAAATATAGTATTATCAAAAATAACAAAAATTTTTTATTTTGTTTTTTTTATAAACAAGAAATATTATATCTTTAACAAATAAGAAATTTTAATAATTCAAATATAATAAATAACTAATCAAGAACAAAATATTAATTTAATAATTCTAACAATAATATTTTGATAAGTTTAATATGATTTAAAGCTATTTATATACAAGTTTTAAAATATATAATTAAAAATAAAAAGTAAAAAATTTTAGTATTAAAAGATATTTATTATATTATATTATTTATTTTCAAGTTTTAATATATAGAATCAAAAAAGAATATAAAAAATAATTATATTAACTAAAAATAGAATTTTAATTTATTAAATATAAAAAAATAAAAATAAATAAATAAGTATATATAATTATATTTTTTGTATAATATTATCAAAAACTTTATTTAATTATTTTATTAAACAAGTAATAGATTTTTTATATTAATTTTACTATATAAATTCTAATAAATTGATATTATTCTATTTTATTTTGACACAAAGTTTATAATTGGCTAAAATATAAATATAAAAATAAATAAATAAATAAATAAATATCAGTAAAAATAATATTTTGTTAATTTTAAAGAAAAAAATAATAAGAAAAATATATTTAAAGTTATATATTAATTTTTACTGAAATTATATAGCTCAAAATAATATTTCTATAAATTCAAGTCTAATTCAAAATTCAAACTGAATTTTAATTTGAGTTCAAGAAAAATTTAAAGTTTGAACTAGATTTAAACTAAACTATTATATGAGTTCAAGTTTGGTTTGAGTTTGATTTAAGATTAATATATAATATTATATATCAATTTGTAGCTTTAAATATAAACTACAACTTTATTTATAAATATAATTTATAATATTTAGCAAGAATTAATTAAAACTTTACATAATAATAACTAAAATATTTTTATTGTTATATTTATTAAATTTAATTTATATTTCTAATTATAATTTTACTTATAATTATAATTTATAATTATTATATAATACAAAAAGTCTAAAGATATCTAATATTATATTATTGCTAAAATTTTTGAAGAATTATTATTTTAAATAAGTTATTATATATTAAAAATATTATATAATTTTATATAATAAAGTTTAGTCAATCAAAAAAATACATATAATATTTTAGATACTAAAAATCTTATTATTATTATTAAAATTAATATTAAAAAAATCTAATTACAAATAATTTTTATAATAAAATAAATTAAAAATATAAATTAAAAAAATTATATTTTATATCTATAATATTTAATATTATAATTTATTATATTTTAATTAAGAATTAGAATTAAAGTCAGAATTAAAATTATTTAAGAAAATAAAATTTTATAAGAAATATTTTTATTAATATACAAAAAACAGTTTCATAAATAAACTATTATTACTATTTTTGTGAGATTTAAGTTATTTATATATTATTCATGTATTTATACTAATTTAAAGATAAAAAACTAAGTTTTTATATTGGAAAAAACTAAATATTATTATTAAAGATAGGTAATATGTGTTTATATTGTGACAAACTAGAATAATATTCAATAAATTCAATAAGCTTTACATAATTTTCAAAGATTATAATACAAAACAATAAGTTTTTCAAGTAATTATCTTTCAAATTAATAATAATGATTTATTATAAACAATATATTTTTCAAAATCAAAACCAATACAAATATAATTATATAAGTTATTTTAAAGTTATAAACTTATTGATTTTAAGCTAAGATATATGATATATTTATATAAATTATATATTATACAATATTATTGATTCTATTATTACAATTATTATTATTATTAATTTAATTAAATATGAGTATTGTTAATATTCTTGATATTAATACAAGTATTAATATTCTTAATATTGTTACCATTTTGATATTTATAAAATTTAAAAAATATTCAAAGGGAAACTTTCAATGTCTTAATGACAATTCAAAGTCTTAATAATACTTTATGACTTTAGACTAAATATAAACTAAAGTATGATAAGTACTTATAGAATCACTTAAAGGTTGGTAACAATTGTGTTCTTTAACGCAATAACTGGACTGCTTAAAAAGA